AAAAAAAATTCAATGTTATGAAGAATGCAATATGATGAGCACTCACAATCACTGCAGGTGAGAATGTTAATTAGCCTAGTCTTCATGAAAAGGGATTTGGCAGGAGGTTTAGTAATTTTAAATTGTCATGCCCTTTGACACAGTAATTCAACTTCTGGGAATCTAACCTAAGGAAATAATGAGTGATTTGTACAAAGATTTATGCATAAACTTATTCTCAAATTTTTTCACTTATTAATAATGTAACAATCAAACCACCCAAGTGCATAGTTAAATTATGTGACATCAATGCAATATGGCATAAAACATCCACTAAAATTGTTTTAAAATGATTTTCATGCCATAAAAAACTATGATATAATGTAAAGTAAATAAAAAAGCAGATACAAAACTGTATCTACTGTAATAGTATGAACCCAATTAGCTGTGTGTTTGTGAGTGTGTGTATGTTTGTGCATCAAAGAAAAAAAAGACTGAAATGAAATACATCAAATTATAGTTCTCTCTGGAACATATAAAATATTTTATCTTCTTTATAATTAATTTGTCCCAGGTTTTTTATAATTAGTATATGTACTTCTTATTTTCTAAATGTGAATGTATAGTTGTATTTGTGAAAATAAAACAAGAATTGTATATATGTATATTATATTATTAATGTGTGTTTTTTAAATGTATTTTTGTTGATTTCAGAGAGGAAGGGAGAGGGAGAGAGAGATAGAAACATCAATGAAGAGAGAGAATCATTGACCAGCTGCCTCCTGCACGCCCCCCACTGGGGATCGAGCCTGCAACCCAGGCATGTGCCCTGACCGGGAATTGAACTGTGACCTTCTGGTTCATAGGTCCACGCTCAACCACTGAGCCACACCAGCTGGCTTACCGTGTGTTGTGTTTTTTTTTTAAGATAAATTTGCACGTCACTCGCATGGAGGTGTTAAAGCAGATAAAATTGCACAGGGAAAGAGTATAATGAGAATAAGATTCTGGACAGGGCCATGGCAAATACCCACATTTAAGGGGCAAAAAGATTGTGAGCTAATGAAGGACCATGGGAGGAAGTGGTTTGAATAGAAGATGGAGAACCAGGTAGAGTCACATCAAGAAAGCCAAATGAAAGGAAGAACCAGAAAAGTTGTCCTCTTGGTCAAATGTTGCCACGTGGTAAGGATAGTGACAGGGCCATTAGAGGGAAATCACTGGGACTATGTACAGGCAGACAGATTTCCTCTAGTACTGGAGATGGAAGCTAAATCTGAGCAAGTGTTACCTGTTCAGTAAAACTGACTATGAGGAAAAGAACTCCTGGGCCATTTGCTTGATTTCAATTTATGGAAGAAAAAAAAATTGTAGAAAGCTAAAGCCAAGTAAAAGCATATCTGGGTTACTGATCTATAGGTAATGAAACAAAAATTGGCAATACTTTGGCATGCAAGAGAAAACATGTTTGAGAGATTGTAAGATTTTTAAATAGTAAGCTCTGTTATAGGATAAATAAGAGAGAAAAAACAGTTCCACACTTGTTATCACAAGTACAAAAAAGTTGCATTTTTTTCTAAATATGAAAGTTTTTGGTGTCAGAGTAGCATTATTAAGAAATTCTTTGAAAGAAAATAAAAATAACCTAAATTTTTATGGTATCATGTTAACTTCTTATAACTGGACATGTGAAGTCTCTAGAAACGTTTTCAAGTTTAAGGAAGTCATTTGACATGCTGAATAATGAATTGCTTGTTGGGTCAAACCTTGTCCTTTTTATGAAAAGAGGTCTTCATTAGCACAGTAACTTGACTGAGGCTCAAGGACTTTGCATCCAGCCATAGAATAAACATATCAGTATGGTCCTACCAAGAGCACCAATTACCACAGAATCTCAATTCTGTAATCATTAAGTAGAAATTACTCAATTTACAACCACTCATTTGTTACTAAAGAACTTTAAGAGTCTGTGTTAAGTGATTTAACGTCACCTAGAGATTACTGTACACAATCTAAAATAAAGTACTTTAACTTCCTATCAAAAAAATACACTGAAAGACCAGAACAACCTTTAAAAAACAACAACAGTCTTTTCTTATGGAAATTCCTGACTTCAGAACCAAGTTACACACCTTTCTATCTGCAAAAAGAGTACAATTTCAATCTAAATGAAGATCATCTACTTCTGAGTGTATGGAATTAAGAATGCCCGAAACTAGTTTGATGGTCAATATAAATAATGACAAATTCTCCCAATCTGTGGTTAGGTGGCCTTTTATGGCAAACTTGTCCAATGATCTCCCATACTCTCAACATTCTTTTTTGTCTGTGTGTCTTTGAAGAACTTCTGTACTTGAAAACATCGTAAGAAAACAATGTAATCATTGTAGGTACCCAAATTACATGCAAATATACCTTTCTAAAAATTCCTGGTGGAGACCACTTTCCTAGAGTGTAAACAGAAAGAAAAGAGGTGAGCAATGTCAAAGAAACATGTTCAACAAGTATCATGGCTCAAATTACCAAACGAAACAACCAACATCTGTATTATTAACTCACAATTCTACTTAAAAAATGAAAAACATAGTTACAGAGAAGGGACCATGTCATGTTCATCCTCTGTATACTAGGGCACTGGCACACAACAGGCAATTTTAAAAAGCCTACAGTTATATGACGAGCACTCAAGACTGCTACAGACTTCAGATAATCAAAACTCTACAAAGAATCTTCAAACACTTCTGACTCTTTCCTTCTCCACCTATCTATCCACCCTATCCCCACCGCCAAAGAAAAAAGAAAGAGAAAGACATTTTGAGGACACCTTAGCAAGAAAAAGTATCCTCTGTTACCAAGGTATGCTGTTAATAGAATTGCTTTCACTTCTGAAGCTTTCTTTTCTTAGAATTATTAGAAGGTTGAAATCTGGCCCACCTTTAACCAGATTCTAGAACAGCCGTTGGCAAACTACGGCCCGCGGGCCGGATCTGGCCCCTTTGAAATGAATAAAACTTAAAAAAAAAAAGGCCGTACCCTTTTATGTAATGATGTTTACTTTGAATTTATATTAGTTCACACAAACACTCCATCCATGCTTTTGTTCCGGCCCTCCGGTCCAGTTTAAGAACCCATTGTGGCCCTCGAGTCAAAAAGTTTGCCCACCCCTGTTCTAGAACGAAGTTTGAATGTACCAAGTTAAACAAAGTTACACAATGGAGCAATTTTTACAAAATGGCACTGCTTTACTAATGTTGCCAATACTCTATTCTCTTCCCAGTAGCTCTACAGTTCAGGAACTACCTGATAACAACACTTCCAGGCTCATTAGAGAACAGTGAAAATAGCTCCACCAACTATTTACTGAACTGCTACAGTGCTAACAACAGGACATAAGGCCATCTTGAAAAGGCCATAATGGTGACAGAATGCAAGGTAAGAAATAGGAATGATACAAATTCATGAATTGAAGAGAACCCTATTACTCAAAGGTTTTTACTATTGTGGTTGTTTACTTTTTTGTTTTGTTTTTAAGGAAAACTAAAAGAATTAAAAAACAAACACACAAACACAAACTATTCTCCGTGCTCCCATAGCACTCTGGGCTGATATATAGTATAGCATTGGCCTCACTAATATTGTAAATTATAGACACTGATCTACCTAACCCTTTTGATTTTAAGCCCTTTTACAGTTGGCCATTTGGAACTTTGAATCTACAGTAGGACTGACAAAACAAGAGGCACTTAATAAATGTATGGTAAAAAGAGAGAGAGAGAGAAATGTTTTTAAAGTAATTACATATTGCCATGTTACTTGTTTTTCTATTGATGCAAAACAAGGAAATATATGTGCATGCACAGCTTTCTTTATTTTTTCCTTTAAAACCTTCTCCCCTGTTAACTCTGCAACTTCTTGAAGGGCTACTTAAAACGTGATCATCCTTCATCCAGGCTATAACTCCACAGGAACTTAGAAATGTTGGCTAAGGGTCATCTTCTTTTGTGTATACATCAAACCTCAAAAGAAAGTGCTACTTCACAGTTCCTAGAACTGTGAATTCACCATTTGTGAATAGTATTAGTAATTATGCAGATAAAAAGTATTCTATTTAACCACTGAAATCAAGAGCAAAAGGAAGACTCTTTCATTCAAAAGAAGACACCCCGCCCCCCCTACAGAGGCATTGTCTTAAAGGCTGATAACTCTCTAAGTACCTAGACTAACTTAACAGGTCAAGTTGACAGGACCATCTGGATTAGGTAGGCTTTTGAAAGCTGGAATTAAGTGAAAGACAATAGTAGTTCAACTATCTCTCGCCAGGATCAGCTAAACTCAGTTGTTGTAAGCGCCAGAAGGAGGCAAGGACAAGCGCCAGATGGTTCGCTCCTAGCACCTACAACTTCAGGGCTAGTAGGTGTCGTCAGGGTGTACAGTTACCTCATATTAACACCTACGTAGGTTAGTGACAGGTGCCAGCAATACATACACGATAGCGATGCGAGGATGGTACATCCGGCTGCAAGGACTGCTATGTTCTCAACACAAGGATGTAAGTGTCTCACACAGAGTTTAACTGGCAGAATGGAAAGGCAGAAAAGTCAAAGAGCGAGGGAATGGCTGGAAATAAAGAAGGGACATGAGCAGTTGAATATCATAATAGTATGTCCTTGGGATATTCTTTTGAATATAGATGAACGGTCACCCCCTTCCACCACATCAAAACATATAGAGTTAGAAAGGAGTGCTCCCGATTTAAGAAGAGGGCGTTCCTACCAGTTTTCTCCCTCAGGCAGCAAAGGCTCAGCCCTATGTCATTACTTCCAACCCCAGAGCAGTACCCAAAAGTGAAGAAAGAGCAGAGACTCCGCGGTTCCTCCACTCCCGCTTCCGAGGGTACGGGGTCCGCCCTCCCTGTGCGCCCCCGGCCCCTGAGTCGCGGGAGGGAGAAGGTGTGGAGGAAAGCCGAGGTCCGCGCACTTCACTCTTCGGCTGTGGAGGATGCGGGGAGGGAAGGCCCTTACCTGGCTGAAAGCGGTCTTTTCTCTGCGCCGGCACCAGCCTTGCCCGGATCCCAGGCGCTCTGCCTCGCCCAGGCGCCTCTGGCCCTCGGCGCACCCTGTCGCGACCTGGCCGCGGCCCCTCCAGCTCCTGCGGCCCCGCCCCGGGCCGGCTCCGAGCCCCGCCCCGGCCCCGCCCACCC